TTTCTGTTATTTTCTACAGAAATTTTGAAAGTTTAAGTATAAAAAAATTGAAAATATTTTATTAAAAATTCCATTAAGGATATTTATTTTGTTATATTTAATATAGGGCAAAGAACTTAATATGTTCTTCCATTTAAATTTCAGTTTTTTTTTATTAAACAGATAAAAAAAAATATATTCATAATTAAAACTGGGTCAAGTGGAATTTAGCTTATTATATTTAAGATTTGAAGATTGAATTAACGAGATTAATCCGAGAATGTAAATATCTTCAAACGAATGTTTATTGTCTAATCGAATGCATGGTGTAAAGGAAATGAACACTCTCAAGATTAAGTAACTTCATTAAATTTTAAACATTTTCGTGCAAAATAACATTAAAGAATTCGACTCTCTCTCATCTAAAATATTACTTTATCTAATAATAAACAATGCGTAGCTATTAATAATTACATTATTTTATGACTTAATCAATAATTCGTTAAAAATTTCGTTATTGGACGATTTCCAATTATCGTAACAAAGTAATCTAATAATTAAATTTAACAAAAAGAAAAAAAATTTAATGGAGTGGTTTTAAAACATGAAAAATGATTTGCAAAAAAACTGATTAAATTTATACAATTTTAAATCATTTTTCTTAATATTTATGTCTTAATTTATGAGTTATTAATAAATATTAATATACTTCCATTATATCTATGTTAAAATAAATATTTTTGTTGAAAAATTACACTTAAATACTATATTATAAACATATATACTGTAATGTATAATTATAATATAATTGTAATTATACAATTAATAATTATAATATAAGTACACACACGCACAGAAATTATGTGTGTATGTGTGTATTCAATTATATTATAATTTTAATTATTAAATAAATGATTTTTAAATTTTTTAAATAAATATATTGTCTGTAAAGAAAATGAAAATGTTTTCAATAATAATATATCAGCAAGACTCATAGAAATTAACTTTTAGATATAATCCGTTCAAGAAAATGCACTTAAAAACATTTATTATCTGAAATGACGTTAAAAGAGGGGGAAAAAAAGAACATTTTCAGGAAGTTAATTACTTTTTTTATATCTAAGGAAAAGAAAATTACAAAAGTATACTCATTGACAAAAAATGATACACACTAAGAATTGTCTGATTACTGCAGAACTCGGCACTCTACTATGACTCAGGCAGGTATTTATATGATTATAGTTGTAATCCAATTACACGTCAGGTAATACCTTCAGATTGCCTTAAAATCACTACCTCAATAGAGCCTTTTTTACCATTAAGCAAACTTAGGCGATTGCCAAGATATGAGGGCCCAACCTTACCGTTAAACGAAGAAAAGATATATCTTTAATTAATGTTAATTAATATAATTAATACAATATTGTTTTTATAAATATCCACGTATGTGTGTGTATGTATGTGTGAATATGGATATATATATATATATATATATCCATATTCGAAAAAAAATATATATCCATATTCGAAAAAAAATATATATCCATATTCGAAAAAAATTTAGGCGCTCATATATATATATATATGAGCGCCTAAATTTTTTTCGTCTAAGAGCGTCAGATATAAAAAATGCCCCCAGAAGTTCATTGTGTTCAGCATTTTTGGTGTATTGCACCTGTTGTTTGAAGGTTTTCGAACGTCAGACATGTAAGACACTAGCTCAGTTTGCACACCTACATCTTTGGAGGGTAGGCCACACTACATCTTAGGGTTGAGGGAAGCAGGAGGACCACTCTTTGACGAATTGCGCTCCATGTGGACTGTTCTGATTTAACTGTGAGATGTTGGAGCAGTGGATGAGTGAGAATACATAGTGGGTAGGCTCTGAATGTTTCAAACAGGAGAACTAGGAAAAATGATTATATGATCGTGCACGATCAGACGATCATCTTTCCTGGTGTGTTAGAGTGGAAAGGACCATTTGTGAACGCTTCAATTTACTGTTGTGCGGCATACAGTCCTCGGTGTTTGTCTGAGGAGCAATCTCATATCATAGTGTGTACCCTTCATACGAAATTCGGCTATCTTCGAGTGTGAGGAATCTGGAATGGCAACATTCGTGGGCAAATCTGTCGCAGGCTATCGTACGCTGCCTGTATGGCTACATGATCGACCGTATAGTTGCATGTATCGAGGCAAGAGTAGACCCTACAAGGTTCTAAAAGTTGCTTTAAATTATATACTTGTTACACATAAAATTGTCTCTTTGCTTTGATATTGTAATAACTCATCACCATCGTCATTACGTTCGCACTAATAAAGTGTCATTCAATTTCTTGGTGTGTAACTTTTTGTTAATTAGTTTATTATATAAATTTTTAAATACGAGGAATTATTTAATTAGAATTATCATTGAACAGCATTAAGTTTACTTTGATTAGTAAGTTTTTAAAAAGTTTACGCATATTTAAAACATTGTAGACCTATAAATTCCTAGTGTTGTCTGTCCATCCTTAATCATGAAAACAGAATTATATGGATAAAAGTTGAGAAAAATATGAAAAGACTAGGAATAGGAGGCCCCGATTAACTGTAAAGAAACTTTCGATCTAGACCGAAAGTCATTTGATTTCAATTCAAAATCTTTTTGGCACGACTCTGTTGTTATTAGGAAAAGTATGATGTACAGGCGCAAGACATTACTAATTTGAGATCGAGAGCATATATTTTAAATAAAATCATAAATTAAGAATATGATTAAAAATTTTGCTCGTTGTTATTAAAATAAATTTTAAAAAATTTTAGGTAATTTATTTCTCATAAAAAAAAATATATATATATATCCAATAGAATAGGATAAAGGTGACGAGGTCCTGCCACAGTTGTTTACGCTTGTTTGCACACAAGATGTAATCCTAACTGGTCTTCCTTTCGTTTGGTGTCTCTCGTCAATATCCAGTGACCGGAACATACGATTCACCTATTAAATAGCTTTCCTGCAGCTCTTGGATATTGTATTTGTTTGCTTAGTTTCTTCAACAAATGTTACAGGAATCTAATTCAGTAAATGAATTTATTTAAATTTTTTATATAAAAAATTAATAATAATAATAATAATAATACTTTTCTGATGAGTTAGTAGCGATCAATAATAAAGATGTTAAATTTCAATAATGAAATTTTCGGAATGATAGAATTTTTTTTGGTGGTGAATTAACACGTATCAATTTCGAGTGAATGTGTTGAAAAAAGTACATAAAAATTCAACATATTATGAATAAATATCGATAAAAAAAACTGAATTTATATTCTTAATTTTATAATGTTTCCCTTCATCAAGTTAATGAATGAGAGTTTTCGACGTATCATTTTAACCCATTTCCTGAGAGGTGATTAAGCGGAATAAAAAAATGAATATAGAAAAAAAATACACTCATGAATATTCCCGAAGCGAAAGTACAGTACTTACAATCGTTAAATATTTTTTATTATTATTATTATTCAAAATTAATGTATAAGTATATAGCAATTTAAATGTTATATATATATTCATAAACTGAATAAAAATATATTCAGATGTTATAAATAAATATATAGGCCTATATATATATAAAAAAAAGAAAGTATAAGGAAGAAATTTAAGCAGAAACGACATTTTAAAAGATATATTTTTCAATTCAATACTNTTATTCATTAAATCTATACCATTGAAAATAATTAGAAATAATTTATAATATGTTTATTTTTTAATACGATAAGTTTCCATAAAATACCTCCTCTTATCATCATAGAATAACGCAATCAAAATTTCAATCTGGTCGTCGTGAAGCGGGTAAACGAATCATTCTTTTGACTAACCTTGATTGTTTTAAAATTGAACGTCAGTCGTAAGAAAAGGTACGAAGATTTTTCTTGAATTTTCTGATGCCTCACCATCCCTAGTTTTAACGTTACCATAGCAACAGACGATTGTCGTGTATCCTGACAGGAAAAAAAAAGAAGAGAGAGAGAGAGAGAGAGAGAGAATAAAGCATCTTGGTTGTGTTTACTCAACTTAAGTTTTTTCAGTTCTATATTCAATTGTTGAATAAATCGATATGATAAGGTGACGATAGATTTTTTTTTCGGGTGGTCTTACTTTTGACATTAATGACGTCACAAGCGTTTAAATTTTATTTAAGCGTGGCAAAGACTCTTTTTGTTTCCCCCTTTCAAATTTTTATTAATAAATTAAAATAATCGGAATTTCTAGCGATTAATAAAACGCAAAAACAGAAATTTCTAAAGATCAATAAGAACAACTTTTTTCATTTCGTTTTTATATATTTATTTAAGTGTTTTAGAGAAATATTTATTGTTTGGTGCGATGTGATAAATTTATAATGGAAATTAAGACGTAATTACTCTTGTCTCTCTTCTCATTGTTGTCGTAGATGCTATCAATCTCCATAAATTTTTAATTATGAAATTAATCACAATTCATCCTTTCGTTTAGTCAATAAAAATATTAAATTAAATACGGAGAGATAATTCTACCAATGTTTTTTTTCCAGAATGAAAAATAACAATAATAAGGAAATTAATGAAAAATTGATTATCATTATTTTTTTTTCTAGATTAACAATAAAAAAATTGCGAGTGATACGCGTAAAAAAACACTTGTAATTTCGCCGCTCATTTAAAAAAATTGTTGAGTATTATGAAATTAATTTAGTAAATTAATAAGTTTTTTTTTTAAAAAAATCAATATATCTTACCAATTTTTATAACTGTTTCCCTAAGCTCTTCCTTATCTTAGTATAAAAAATGATATTTTTGCATAAAGAAATGAAAAATATTAAGCATAAATATAAGGAAGTGAATGATATAATGGAAAAAGTGGAAGATTTCAATCTTCCATATGGAAGTTGTAGTAGATTGTGATTGGTTACCTTGATGTGCGCGCTCATCCGAGTTTCAGGTAGCAGTCAAAAGCAACAGGTTGGTCACATTCTAGACACTATTGATCTACTAACCAAACTTGTAGTTTATATGTCTTTGCAGTTGCATTAAAACAGATAAGGGATATCAGTGAGTGGACCACATTGCTTTTTATCTATATTTTTCTCCCAGTTACATTACATTAGGGAAGTGACTTGCATCTTTCCACCATGCTGGCCGTTCGGTCTTACAGCGTACGTATGAAAAAGAGAAATCGTGAAGCGGAAGCTTCTTTTAGAAGAAGTCAATATAGAAGAAAGGTGCATACAGGCACACCTCTTCATTCGCCAGCTAAGAGAACTGTCAGTTCTTCATCAGCTCCAACTCCTGTCACCAAGAGCGAAAACATCATTACGGAAAGTAAAGATGAGGAGTGTGAGAATGATGCAAAAATTTCCAATAGTGAAAAGAGAGAAAAAAGTGATGATAAAACTGAAGTTTCCATACAGGAACAAAATAATAAAGATACTATTGTATCCTTCGATCCTTCGGTTAAGAGGTAAGATAAATTATTAAATCTCGTATCTCTGTAGACCCTTTTAATCTCCATCTAATTAGTATATATATATCCCCTTTAGACTTGGTCCCTTTGACTTTAGCTATTCTTATATATCATTATCCTAAAGAATATATAAGAAAATTACGTTTTAAAAATGTAAGGTTTCTGGTCAAATATACGAATTTATCCTATGAAATTTGCAAACAATTGATTTCATTGTTTATATAATTCATAAAGGAAACAGACAAATTGGTAAAAGTATTGAGTTCTACAGTTCAATCAGAAAAGGCTGCTATTCACAAATTCATTTACTTGTTTATTTTATATTGTTCGTGGTAATGGCTAAAATAAATTAATCTTTGAATTATTAAACTCGAAGCTTTAACAGCTTGGGGTAACAATGTTTCGAAAGTAGTACGCACGCTGTTTATTCAAATTAAACTGGAGGAAATTTATTACAGATCAATTAAATTTTTCTTTTTAAATCTAAATAATAATAATAATAATAATAATAATAATAATTCGATATCATTAACATAATCTTACCGTTATCTTGATAATGCCGTTTCTTTTAAATATGTTTTAATAGAAAGTAAACAGTGTAAAATTACATTTTAAATTATTTAAATGATAAACGATAATTATCAATAATGAAATTTGGATATTTCATCATTAATTATACTAAATTCTTGAAAATTAAAACGAATTATTATCGGCCAAGTATGAATATGTTATGTTACTAGGAGAAACAAGTGAAAATTATTATAATTTTGTAAACTAGGAAATTGATTTTAAATGCATATAATTTAATAATAAGCATCTAAGTCTTATTAAGAATATAAATACCCGAAAAAAGACTTTATATTACATTACTACAAAATTCTTTAACCGTGCAAAAATCACTCGTGCACACTTGTTAATTTTTATATTAAAATATATAGAAATTATTTTTGCACGTAATTTTTTTTAAATATATAATAATATACAATAGAAAGGCATAGGAGAAACCTTTGCATTGTTCAGGTAAATACTATTGTGTATTCAGTAAATGAATGAATCCAAACTACCCATATTTATTTTGTCCTAGATCACTGCTGTTATATGTACTTAATAAATGATTACGTTGTACGTAACATTAACCGTAAAAATATCAAAGAATAGCTTTGTTCGGTAAAACAGATTCAAAATATTTAAACAAATAAAAAAGACTTTTAATTACTTTCAACTCTAAAAAGTCATTATAATTACAATAATGACTTTTAAAAGCTTAATTTATCGAAAATTTCCAAGTAATAGCTACAAAAACTGCTATTAATTTAAGATGTTTGTTACGCTACGAGATAATATATTAAAGTGCGTAACGTATTGCATTAGAGTTACAGAAAAAAAAACGTAAAAAAATACTTGAAAAATCTACAATTTGTTTTGTTACCTTTTAATATTATTTAATAGCATTAACAGGCTGATTATAAACACATTAAAGACAACAACACTTTGAATAATCATAAATTCTAGAGATTTTTTAATATTAAATTCATTAAGAGGGGGAGGGGAATAAAATGTGATTTATACTTAATTTTTGTTATTTATTTAGATAATTAAAGTTTGCTTTTCGGAAATGAATTTCCTCGAGTAGAAATTTTCGTTTGTTTTCAAATTAAATAAATTAACCCCATTCAGGAACCTTAAAGATCCTATCTTAATATATTTAAATTATATGTAATTAAATTTAATAATATTTTCAGTAAAGTCGACCGAGATAAAGACATAATATTTAATCACCTTCTGCAGGTAATTCACTCAGTTTAATCAATTTTGAAAACCAGAGACATGCCTATGAATTTTTCAGTTTCTTACATTAAATATATTAAGTTTTCAATTCTCTTGTATACTTAATATATATAACTATTAAAGCTCTTATTAACTACTTATTTAAACATTATTTTTTTTTGTTTTAGATGGTTTAAAAAAATTAAATAAGAATAAATTAAGTCATTTTTTTATAACCTGTTTCTCTTATCGTTCTTCCTTCTGTTTATTGATTTACATTCAAATAAATGTCATCTTCTGTATTTTGATTTTTATTTGACAATGTTCCGTGTCATATCAAGCATTTGGTATTATTGTTCAATATGGTCAAATCTCGCTCTTCAACCTGAAGCTTTACTATATTTATCCATCATATCTTTATTACTTTCATCTTCATTTTTATCTTGTTTCTCTCAATCGAAAGAAAATATTTGAAGAATATTGTAATTTAAAAAAAATTCTTCTACCGTAAATTAATAACTATCATATATTGTTACTGAATACAATTTTATAAATTGAACAGAAGCTAATTAAATTGGACAGAATTTAAAAGTTTCATTTAAGAATATATTTTTTTCTTGTATACTTTTTACTCTTACATTTTAACCAATTAACGAATCTTTAATACAATTAAAATTAAAGTAAAAGTGATAATAAGTGCTTTAAAGAGAAACTTTGCGCTTTGGCAGGTACTTTAATTGATTGTTTACTTGTGTAATAAAAAGAACTGTATACAATGGGGTTATATAATAAAGTACTCACCTATAAAAAACTATATACAGTAATAATAGATAAAAAATATATAAAAAAAAGTAGTCATCTTTGATTTTCAAGAAAGTCAAATAAAAGTATAAAGCATAAACTTGAATAACCTCTATCACATATTGTGTTTCACTATTGTAAGGTTGCAATATCACGCAAGATCACTCAGAAACTTGAACTGGATGCAATATAATGCTTAAAACATTAAATAAATATTGTATTATATATATTTCTAACAAAAGAAACTCGGTATGAATAAAAATTTCCCAACTTTTTAAAAATTTCCTCATCATTCATCGAGTGTTTTTTTTTTCCTTTTTTCTTTTTATTCTTGAAACTTATAAAGGTTAGTCGTTTCTATTTCTGAAAATAATTATATTGGGACTTCTCAGTGAAATTAAATGTGTCTAAAAGAGAATATTAAAGTATATTCTTATAAATATACCATAACCTTTACGATACAAAAGAAAAACTTCCAGTTTATTTTTGTTTAAAATCATGTTTTAAATTTATAAACTTTCAAAAATTATTTTTGTAAATCTTTTGCTAGTTCGGTAGGTTCATTAACTGTTTTATTCGCTAAACAAAGTTGTTTTTTCTTCCTATGTTTAATCGAGCGGAACGACTAACAAGAGAATGGTGGATTGGCGTCGTTAAAACTATAAATCCTTCTTAATTCCTTCAAAAACATAGCATTATCAGGAAAGTTTTCGTGTAATTTCGAAATATTTCATTGATACTAAATATTTTAAATTTGATTTGCATTGAATAACAAATTTCTGTCGCTATTTCGTGACATTTAATAAGTCGTATTGAATTACGCTATGTGCTGAGATCTCTGTGGGTCTTTGGCCTTCTTGATAACCTCTTTCTTTGCTCTTCTATTCTGTACTAATTCCATCCAATAGTTTTCCGTTAATTGTTTTATTTCTTCCTTAATCCAATCTCTCCATCTAAGTAAGGGTTGTCTAAACATGTCTTCTGCCTCTTGGAGTTTCCATAAGAATTTACTTGATATATATATATATATATCTGCTCATGCAATTTCCGTTTCAATTTCTTCTAATGATTTATTTAATCGTTATTATATTTTTCTTTAATTTTATTTTAATAATTTTCTTCTATTTCTTTGTTTCATTAGATTCGAACGAATACTTTCATAATTCTATTTTTAAATTTTTACTAATTATTTTGAAATTGGCCGAATTTCAATAGGTAATAACTGGAAGGATAATGATGTTTATCCTTTATTTTTAAGTTTCTTGGGTATTGTTTTGATTGAATGGGGATCAAACAATAATCTTACCTCAGAAATACTATCTTGTAACGAAATCGGACTGCACATGAGACATGTTATTTGGTATACTAACAAATAAATTATCTTTAAATTTATCTCGAATAAAATTGGAAGAGTAGGATTTAAAATATTAAAAATTTTATATAAAATTTAAGGCTTATAATTGCCTTTATTTGCTTTAAATTATAAAGTAAAAAAAAATGTATTGTCTCGTGTGCATTTTTAATATGGATAATAGTAAATAAATTTGTATCTTTTTGTTAATGATGAAATAAAGAGATTTATATATTTGATTTCTCCTTTTTCAATCACTCGTATTGAACATAACGCAAAAAATTCAAGAATTATCTATCACGCAAACAAATTCTATAAAAAAGTATTATCGTTTACTATAATGAAATTAATGAAATGTTCCGCTATATTATCAATCAATCTTGAATTATCTTTGTAACAATAGAAAAATATAACGACACGAATGCGTCACACGACGAAATTTCTTCGCATTCCGTCATATCGAAGCCTCTATGGAAATGGATGATGATCGAAGATAGTATGTTCTTTTTTTCAGATAATTGCAACTCAATACGTAAATATAGTTTGCACTGGTAAAATCTGATCTTACCTGTGATCATTCATTTTTATGTCACGGAAGTAAGATCGCAAGCATTACCACAGAGCATCATTAATCTTCAATATACGTCTCTTTTGACAATAGCAATGTTTTGCTTAAAGTATATCGATTGCAATCTTATAATCGAAATTCACGAAAAGATCACAATCATAGCTTAGTGAAGAGAGAAACAGACATTATTTGATAAAGCACTCCACTAACATCAACTCAATACTACGTTTAGATACTTTCGTGCGTATAGTATTTTACATTTTTATGAAAATTAAATGGCAACGAGTGGAAAATTTCGTGGCTTTTCTGCCTCTATTTTTTCTATATTTTTATTTTAAATCCTAAATTATACAGTACGTTTGAGGGGTAGGTTAAGCAACGTTACATATACTTTATTTCTATCTTATTACAAGCAAATCCTATGTATTTTAAATGTAAAAATATTCACTTAATCAAATGGCATGTAAATATGTCATACATAATTCGGTGCATACAATGTTCCCATATTTTAATCCAATTTTAATTTTTATACATTATCTTATGCTAAATTGTATTTTAAGTACAGTACGTGAAGTG